ATGCTGCCATGCAAAGCATAAACGACATAACAGCTTTCTGCAGCGAAAATGAAGGTATTTTGCATCTGGGCATTGTCTGGTATGCCACATATTTCTTGTTTCAAGCCGCTCTTGTTCTTGAAGCGAGCTATCTAGATCGTGAGGCTCAGGACAAGCTAGATCACGAGACAGCCGACTGGCGATTGTTGGTCCACAAGGCGCAGAGCTGCCTGGTGACTTTCTCGGCGAGAAGCAGATCAGCCAAGCGGTGCTTGGAGATTTTGGAACTCATAGATAGAAGGGCAGAAACAGCAGCGAACACTCGTCGAACTGTCCTCACAGTGCCCGAGCTTGTTGAAGAAGCACCAGCTGCGCTACAGCCCCCAGTGGGTGACACTGAGGCATCTCTTCCACCAGCTGATCTACAGAATTTTGGTGGAAATCTCTCCATAGGGATGTGGACACTGAACGACGATGGATCAGATCCTACGATGAGGATGATCATGGATAATACCCCATGGGGATACCTTGATAATGCACCCATGGATACTCTGTTTAACGACTGGTTACCTCAAGATACTTTTGAAGAATAATAGTTTGGGAAATCTCTGTATCTTAGCATTGCTTGTTACTAAGGGAGTACATAACCGCCATCAATGATGATGTCTGATCCAGTGGTATATGTGGACGCATCACTGGCTAAATACAAGTACAAGCCCTTGATTTCCTTTACATGCCCCTGTCTGCCTAGTACCGACGTACGATAAGCTTCGTTGAGTGCCAGTGGACCAGCCCCCATCTTGGTATCGAAGAAGCCTGGGGACACGATGTTGACGCGGGCGAACTCTCTCCACTCGCGGGCCAATGATTTGCCAAATTGCGTCACGAATGCTTTCGTGCCATTGTAAATAGGTTGGTCAACAGGAACATTGACGATGTGTGCGCTCATACTAGAGGTGATGATGAGAACGCCGCTACCTTGTTGCTTGAAGACCTCGCCGACATATTTGGAACAGTAGACAACGCCATTGACTGCGAAGGGTCAGATGGGTACTCGGTGGGGGACAAGAGATGGATGTGGCATACCGTTCACGGACATTTGCTTGTCGAATTCGGGGAGAGTCTGTTCCAGGATCGGCTTGCTGATAGCCATTCCAGCATTGGCGACGAAAACGTCTATTCTGCCAAAGTCTTGTACAACCTGCCTTACTGTCTTCTGTACGGACTCCGCGTCGGATACTGCCGTCATGTCAACTTCAGGTCCTCATGTTTGAATGACACCATAAACATACCATCGACTTTGTAAGCAGCAGTCTTGACATTGTGTTTAGTTCCAAGATCCTGGGCTTTTTGGATAGCCACGTCGTTTCTGAAAGATTGTCAGTGATTGAGTAGGAATCTTGATATGAACAGTACGACTTACGAATTGTACCATAATACGACATGAGCGTTGGCCTCAGCCATTCCCTCCGCGACAGCATAGCCAATACCGTCAGCGCCACCAGTCACGACAACTACCTTGCCAGTCATCTTGAACTGCTCCAAGACATTGGTAGGGGTGTCAGGAAAGGGTCTAGGGAAGCCATCCCGCAGGACGGTACAGTCGGATTCGTTCATAGACATCTTAGTGGCGATCTTGCAATTTGGTGTTGAATGAGGATTGGCTACATTCTCAATGACGGTGAGAATATTTATAGTGTTACTGGCGCTTTGATGATCTCCGTCATTGTCGGGGTTCTGTCGACCGATGCAAGCGCAATAGCGTAACTGACTCGCCCTCGTGCTGTCTTAAGCGGGGTCACGGCTCACTGTGACCGACGCCATTGAGAGGTCAGTAAATGCCGTGATTGGGTGCTTTAGTTCCACGGAACTGGCCTTTCAGTGACCACAAATTTGCTTCTAGAATCTAGAACTGCAAGTTGGAGTTTTCTCTCCTTTCGTGACCATGTGTATTGTCAGGGAGTCGGGGATCCGGGGTAAGAGGTGGACAGCATGGTGAGGAGCGATATGTTATCATGTACTTAAGCTTTTATAGAAACAGCAATGTCCCACAATATTGCGGGCGTCAAGACAGAGGAAGAGAAGCAGAGAAGTAGAGAGTGAGCGTAGGGCAATCGAACCGAGTGCACGCTGTTTAGGCCAGTCCGTCGTCGTCGCCAGGCTCGTCGGAGTATCCCGTTCGGCTGAAGGGTTAGCGACCTTGTTTCAACAAAGCCTACAACTCCTTTAGTCCTGGTTATAGCTCCCCAAACACTGTGGAACTAAAGTTAGTGTTAGTCCTTGGAAAGCTTTCGAATGATCCCACTAGCCCGGGACCTAATCTCGAAGAGGGCATTCCCCGCGGGGAAGATCTGGGGTCTGGAACTCCCCCGGAGTTCAGTGAACCGGGAGACTATGCATGGGCATTTCTCTGCTTCACAGGTTAACCCAACTATTTAATCGACTGGGTCCTCTTTTACTGGACTCTTTGTTCCATCACGCCAACTTCAATCTCTAAAGTGTCCCTATTTGCCCAGACCACAATTACAGCAACATGACTTCCAAAGATTCAGAGAAGCCAACTATCGTCCATGACCCAGAACCGATTGACATCTTTACCAAGGAGTCACTGGGTATGGATAACCAAGTCTACGAGACAAAGTATGCATGTAGGTTCCAACGAGCCTGATATCTCTATGGCCACTGACTAACAGTCTGTCAGCACTTGGACGATGGGCTGTTGTCAAGACCTTTTGGAAGGCTCTCCTTTTCTGCACGATCTTGAATTGGGCAGCCTTGAACGATGGCGTAAGCGCAGTTCTCTGTTATGTCTCTCTCTACCTCTGTTAACAATTCCCTGTAGTTCCAGCAACAGATCCCCGGTAACGTAATCCCGATGCAAGCCTTCATCAACACCATGTCCGACACTACAATCAACGGCAAGCCCGCCGTCAGCGCTCGAGTTGTCTCCTACTGGCAGGGGTTTGCTGAGATGTCCAAGACTCTCGGCATGTTCACTGGTGGTTACTTTGCCGATAGACTGGGTAGAAAGTTAGTCTTTGGCCTTTCTCGGCCCTGTTAATATGCTGACTAGTCTCCAGGAAGGCTCTCTGCGGTGCGATCGTTATACTTCTCGGAGGCTCTATTGCGGAGATCACGGCATCTGGCTGGAAGAGTTGGCTTGGAGCTGCTGTTCTGGTCCGGCTTGGTGTCGGACTTGCACAGTCAATCCTCATCACCTACGTCTCGGAGCTCACGCCTTTCCAGATTCGAGGTCTGATGATTGGTGCCTATCAGCTCTGCCTTGGCATCGGACAGCTTATCAGTGCGATTGCAACACAACTCATTACTATCCATCAGCCGACCAAATGGAGACCTCTGATTGCCACCGAGTTCATTTTTACTGGAGTATGTATCTACCGTCTAGCAAACGGGAAGCTGGAAACTGACTTTCCTCCTTAAGCTTCTTATCTTGATGGTATGGCTCGTTCCCGAGTCTCATATCTACTACGCTCGTAAGGGAGAGGATGACAAGGCCAAGAAGTCAATGCTCACACTCTACGGTAACATTGATGGATACGATGTCGTAAGTACCTTCTCATAAACAGATTCAGCAACCAGTACTAATATTATGCCTTGCTAGCAACATGAGTACCGTGTCATCCAGCACGGTATTGAAGCTGAGCGACAGCTACATCTCGAGTCCAAGTCTTCGTCCTTTTTTGAGATCTTCGACAAGCATAACTGGCGAAGAACATTGGCCGGATGCATGGGTATCTGCAGTCAATGGGCCGCAGGAGCACCAATTGTGTTCTCGTACTCGACAGTAAGTTTTGTCTGTAATCATGTACGTTATACAGAGCTGACAGGTCGCCAGTATTTCTTCGCTGTTGCTGGTCTGAAGGATCCCTTTCTCGTCACCATCATTACGTGAGTACAGGAGTCGCGAGTCCATTGTTCTTCTTTCGCTAACAGTGCTAGCTTCGTTCTACTTATTATCGCAATTGTGTCATCTCTAATCGCTTGCGAGTTCATTGGTCGCAGACCTCTTCTTGTTGGGTGAGTCTGAACCAGAAAGCAGATGATACCGATGCTGACCGATTATCTAGTGGATGTTTCGCCATGATGCTTTTCAACGTCGGCCTAGGAACAACTGGTTTCTTCAAGAACCCAGCATCCGACAAGGCTGCCTTGGGGTGTCTTCTCCTCTGGGTCATTGCTTACGGCTGTTCAGCAGGACCAATTGGTTTTGTTGCCGCCGGCGAAACTTCAACTCCACGTCTACGAGCTCAGACGACCTCATTCAATCTGGGCTGCTATGGTCTCGGATTGTAAGTTACCTTTTCCGATTCAAAGACGGTTGGTTAACATATCATCTTCAGTGTTGTCTTCCAATGGACCGTTTCGTACATGATCAGCCCGGATGCTGGTAATCTAGGCGTCAAGGCGGTGTTTGTCTGGGCTGGATTGTTGGTACCCACAACTGTTCTTCTTTGGTTCTTCTACCCCGAGGTCAGTGCTACACAAATGGCTACAAAGCGACTTACACTAACATTCTTAGACCTATGGTCGAAGTTACTGGGAGCTTGACGAGCTTTATGCTCGGAATATCCCCGCTTGGCGATTCAAGAATACTCCAACTTTGGTTGACGAAAGTGGTGGCAAGAACCGAGCACTGATGTCTGGACGAAATGAACATTCAACGAACCAGAATATCATGACTTGATCTATACAAGAGCATTCATCAAGTCAAAATGACTGGTCTTCAAACTTGTCTTGGTATCCTAAACTGTGCCATCGGTGCTGTCTCTTGTACCAATGCACTAGGTCGATGATTTTTGGTCCTCTCTTTTGCTTTCAATGTACATATAAGTAATTTAGACAGAACCATTCCATTTCATACAACCTGAAAACATTCACACGAGAAGTCAGAGTGACGGTGATGACTGAGGTTCGAATGTATTGAAGATCCTGCCCTGTTCAAACCTCAGCGCTACTAACTTGCGAATGAGAAAGCCAGCCCATCGCCATATATGAAGGCCTCAGACCCAGTGAGTGGTGGCTCCGTAATTTCCTCCATCAGCAGGGCGAAGAAAGTCACTTCGAGTGATCTTGCCATTCGCCTGTCGACGTCCCTTGATAAGGCTAGTAGAGGTAGCCTTGAAGTCTGCATCCTGCCAAGATCCACCCCTCTCCCAATTGTTGCCCTTACCCTTCACCGAAGTGAGCGTGTTCTGCTTGCTCAGGCTGCTGGAGCCGGCATTGTTGGCTGCAAGGTTGTTCTCATAGGTAGCCTTGGAAGAGCGTTGGTTGAAACCTTCCTCGCGGTTCTTCCAAGCAGTGTTGTGGATGAGAGTCATGTCACCGGGCATGTTGTTGTCGCTGAAGCCACGGCGGTTACGGAAGGAGAAGTTGTTGCGAGCGACATGGTTGACGTTGGCTCGGTTGGCGGGTGATCCACCGCCGAGCTTGATGCCAATGCCATCTCCTCTGTAAGGGTTGAAGTTCCCGCGGTTCACACCATTGTCGAAAATGATGTTATCAAGGATGGTGACAGAAGATTTGAACTCGTACAGATCGATACAGTCATCAGAATTCTCGTAGCTGCGAATACCACGGATGATGTTCCCAGTGCCTGAGCCTTCCTTGATAGCCATACCATCTGCATTTTGGCCATTGTTGCGTGGATCAGCGTTGTTATGGGTGTCAAGATAAACGATCTCGTTGTTCGAGATGCCTGTTCTGCATGTGGAAGCCAGTCTCATAGTTGCTGTGGGTGGTCAGGCGTTCGAAGTAGTTGTTGTGTGAATCCTTCACGTAGACACCATAGGGGCCCTTGGTGAGAGTGATGTGAATGAATCTCCAGTACTCTGCCTTCTCGACATGAAAGATACCGCGATCCTTGCCAGAAAGACTGGCACCAAGGGCAGCCGGAGTACCAGGCATCTTGTCACCGCCAATGATGACTTCTTCGTTATTATAGGACCTGATGGTGTAGGGCTTGCTAGAGGAACCTTTCTTGGTGAAGTGGATGTTCTTGGACGGGTGGTAGGTTCACTTTCGGAGATATATGGTGTCTCCAGCGCTGGCAGCATTAACTGCAGCCTAGATGTCGGCCAGAGGGGAGCTGCTAGAGCCTGAACCACTGCTCGATCCGTTGGGAGCAACGAATATGTCTTTGGCTAGGGCTGTAGGCAGCACGGCGACTATGTACTTGAAGAGAAGCATGATAAAGGAATGTGAATGGAAACGAGCCTATGAAGGAGCGACAAAGAAAGTAATGTGAAAAATATTTAGTTCAAGCTCAATTTTGGCTTCACGAGACATCTTCTTTCCTTTTGTAGCTCCATCTGCCCATGCTTTCACACGTTCTTCTGGAAGCTCGGGTTTCCAGCGATGCCGCTATCATTATACACATGGCACTTAGCGCCTCGGCACTCTTGGCTGTGTGGGTTACTGCTGAAGACTACGAGTAAGAGCTCAAGTCAAAGCCAAGATACAGTAAGCTTAAATTGCCACAAATGGCGGAGAGTTTTATATTGAATCTCTGATCACTTTTTCCTGCCTCAAGCCCCGCGTCATACTCCACGATCGGACGTAATTCCCATAATGGTTGTTGCGGAGCCTATTGTCCCGAGTTTTGATTGAAGCCAAGATATCCAAGAAACGATCGGGCCGTATCAGTCTGTCAAGACTCTTGGCGAGTTTGAAGCCACGAGAGAAGACCTTGGCAACTCTTCAATACGGCATTGACCGATGATATAAACTCCACTCTCATCTCAAGGTAGGCCGGTATGGAGTTATCCATTATTAAAAGTTGATGATCTCATGCTCAAGATACAAAGACTATCAAAATCATGAGTCGACAAGAAGCAATATGGCTCAAGATTGTATTCAATTTCTGCCATCCGTTTCTATTACAATTGTATATAGTAAAGTATCATCTTATCTATCCGCATGAGCTATCCTTCCTGTATTATCCTGTTGCCCATCACAGTATCTCCTCATTAAATCATCCGTCTCTGTTGTGTTTCCTGGGTAGAGCCTAAATTTCTATCTTCGTTGCCTAGTGGGTGTAAACCTGTTCCGGCCCTAGGGATCCATAGTCCCCGGAGTCGTAGGGGTTGGATGGTGTGACCTGCTGGCCGTTCACATCGCTCACGCCGAACCAAGCAAGCTCCTTATCTCTCACGACAGTGATGACAGCAAAAGGAGGAGCAGGCTCAGTAGCATAGCCCCAAGAGATACTAAAGCTAGATCCATCAGTGCAAGGTTCGTTGGCCCAGCTTTCTGTAGAAGCACTGGAGCCAGGCATACGGACGATAGTACATCTCTCAGTCTTGCCATCAGCCCCAACCATAAAGTTATAGTCACATCCATGGCCGTCTTCACCGCAATAACGCGTGAGATTCTGGATTGCCCAAGTCTTGCCGACAACAGGTATGGGGCTAGGGTATATACTAGCCACTGGTTGAGTGCCATTGGTCGGGACGGGAAAGGAGGGGTGAGTTGCGGCTGAAGTTGCTGTGTAGGTGATATGAGCTGAAACGCAAAGTTTTGGGTGAGCCGGGCTGCATCCCCCAGGGACAATAGGGATTGGGGTGAAGGTCGGGGGAAGTCCCGTATGATAAGGCAGTGGGCATGATCCAGGAAGAGCAAGATTGCAACCTCCTGGTATACCAGGGATGGGAGTGAAGGTCTCAACGGGAACTGTGTCGTTCTTGCTGGCAGATGCAATCTCTGTCTTGGTGGGCCGCGCAAGAGATGCCGTGGCAGAAGAACAATACTCGCGAATTCGTGCACTATCTTCGCCAACACAGGCTGTCAGGGTGCAAGAGCATGCTACTTCTGGTGTTCCAGCCACGATGCAAGCGTTATAAGCCTTCTCACATTCATCGTAGGATGTAAGAGGAAGGGCCAACACGGCTGAGACCAGAGTCAAGAGTGAGACGAGCTTGTTCATGACTGGGAAAGAGATCTAGTTGATGTTGAACGATCAGGTGGGTAATAAGGCGTGGAGATTGAAAATATCTTTATTCTCTGATATGCTCTGATGTTATCGGTTGATGATGTTTCAATCTCAGACAACATGTCTTAGAGGTTATATAGTCAGGTGGTGAAGCTCAGCATTGATTCTGTTAGTACCCCAACCTCCTTCTTACTGTGCGTTTTTCTCTCATGACATAACCCAAAGTTTGAGCTAGAAAGGGCTCTATCAAGAGCCTCCACTCTTCAAATGGTTTGCCAATGTAAGACAGTCGACTGATGGATCTGACATCAACATCGCACTACAGAAAGCCCAGCCACTGTCATTATAATATTTTCACCACTCTCACAGCTGAATTCCTGTCGAGCAGCCGATGATTTGCATGGCCAGCTGCTCAGCCAACCTCCGATTTATACAATGGCTCCGCTAACACGAGAGGATTATTGAAGGTCTAGAGCGAAAGCAGCAAAGACGTTATTCTTACTGGCAAGCGAGAAAAGCTTAATTGACACTCAACGAATCAGGTTGGGGTGCCGTGCATGTAGCACGTTGCTGAAAGGGACAACGCAAACCTTAAATCGATGGTTGCCAACTTCTGGAATGTGATTGATATAATAAACATGTGATGTAATTGTTTATCTGATGCTATCTCTTTCTTTCATTGAAACCTCGTAACTTGAAGGCAAGCCCGAGACTTTGGTTTTGTCTTCGGTTCATATTGCCTCTATTATACTTCAACTGACCATTCATTGGCAAGTTATTTAGTGCTAAGCATATACTGATTAATTACTGGTTTGCTTTACACCTCTTTAACTTCGTTGCTTTTATGGCCCGTAATACATCCGTATTATATATACTTTTGTTTAGGCCGTGGCCAAAGATTCCTGCCTCTTTCTGCTTAATAGATTCTGTCGCCCCCTTCAGATTCCAAACATGCTACTGAAACACATTCGAGTAAAGTTGAAAACATTTTGCTGATCGTCTTCGTAGTGAGCTACCACGTAGCTGGCGTTATTGGGGCGTTGGAAGCCATAACTAATGGTGCCATTATATGGACCGTCAACGATATCATGATGCTCAGTCTTGTCGAATTTGCCGCGCAAGCACGCCAACAGATCAGCCTGTATACCTGGACCACTTGTGAACTTTCCGCAGGGAGTCTTGCGAGTCTCAATGCATGCGATGACAATCACGGCAATTCCAAAGCCCAACAGAACGCCGGTGTAGAATTTGTACCAGGTGGATGATATGCAAGGCAAGACAGTGGACTTGGCTCCTTTGATGCCCATGTACCAGGTTGTTATCAGGGCAGTCATCCCGATCACGCCCAGGTAGAAGATAATCACCACGAAAGTCGTCGTGGTGTAGAAAGTGTTTCCCTGTGGGACCATGAACGACAGGGCCAACCCCAGGAGAGCGAGGAGCACCAGAGCATAAGTGCATCGAAATGTTCTGCTGCCCCAGAAACCTGAGTTGTGAAATCTTTGGGGTTCAATCGTCGTAGGGTTCGCAGCCAATATCTCGAACGATGTCGTGCTACAGACCATAGGTTGTGGAGAACCAGCAGGGATGTCCTCCATCGAGGCGAATGAGAACTCGTCCGTAAGCCACAGACAGCTGCACAGCCTCAGCAATCCGAAAAGTGCCATTGGGAAAAAAATGATGTCGACAGCCATCAACAGTGTGAAACTTGGGGCAGAAGGGTCGATTTGACTGCCCAATAGCAGGATTATGGCCTGCATGCCTTGAACAGTAACAATGAGAGTCTTGATCGCGTCTCTTGATAACAAGGTAACCCTGTCCCCATCAGGCGGTCGGCTGTACGCGATCATCTCTTCAGATCCATCCCAGCCTTGATCAGTCCAAAACAAGGCATTGCTGGCAGCGAGATCGAATCTATCCCAGTTCTTGGCCCGAATGCGACGGTCAGTGATGGCTCCGTATCGCCAGAGAATGGAAGTCGGATTATAGTGGCATATTCGTTCGTGCCAAGGAGGCCGACTCAGAGAAAGATAAGTCGGTGAAGGTGCACCGATAAGAACATGCGCAATGAGCGGAGCCAAACACAGAGTGAGAAGAGTAATCCAGTCAGAAACCGCGATCTCTTGACTTTGGTACAAGAGGGGGTTAATAAACACAGTCATCCTTGGTCTCTCCAGGTGGCTCTGAATGCCGACTACAGGTTGTGGTGAAGGACAATAAAGGAAGCTTTAGAATGAGGAAGTCCCCAGAACATAAGCACTACAGAAAGAATTTTAATTCTATAACACAAGTGTTATACTGAAATGAAGAATAGTAGAGACAGCTCCATGCATGCTGACATCTGAAACATAGTGCTGACGGGAATAAGATTAGCTGTTGGCTTAAGCTACGGTAAAGGAGGGGGG